CAAGTATAGGCCTAACCATGTTACAATGGTCAGCGTGCTTTCAGCTTGTGCTCAAATTGGTGATTTAGACCTCGGCAGGTGGGTTCATGAGTACTTGAAATCTAAAGGAAGCAAAGGTGTGATAGGATCAAACAGAATTCTAGCGACTGCATTGATCGACATGTATTCGAAATGTGGGAGTTTGGAGAGAGCAAAAGAGGTTTTCGATCAGATGGTCTCCAAAGATATTGTTTCATTCAATGCCATGATCATGGGTCTTGCAGTTAACAGTGAAGGAGATGAGGCCTTGAGGCTATTCTCTAGAATCCAAGAGTTTGGTTTACAACCCAATGCGGGTACGTTCCTTGGCGCTTTATGTGCATGCAGCCACTCTGGTTTATCCGAGGAAGGACGTCAAATATTTAATGACATGACCTCAAGATTTTCTGTTTCTCCGAAATTAGAACATTATGCATGCTACATTGATCTCCTTGCAAGAGTAGGCCTAGTTGAAGAAGCTCTGGAGGTTGTAACATCCATGCCCTTTGAGCCTAATAGTTTTGTGTGGGGTGCTCTGCTTGGGGGCTGCCTGCTCCACTCAAGAGTAGACTTGGCTCAATATGTTTCCAACAAACTGGTTCGATCGGACCCTGACAATTCAGGAGGCTACATAATGCTGGCTAATGCATTTGCATCCGATCGTCGATGGGGTGATGTCTCTGCGCTGAGGTGGTTTATGAGGGAGAAGGGGGTCACCAAGCAGCCTGGCTTCAGCTGGATCAGCATCGACGGCGTGGTGCATGAATTTCTTGTGGGGTGCCCGTCACACCCTCAAATTGAGAGCATATATAATACGCTAGTTGGATTGGTGAAGGAAATGAAGATAGCAAGTGTATAGGGAGTTCACAAGCACCCAAGCAGTCGAGGGGAACGCTGATTTTGTCAACTTCTGTTTTTTCCATGGCATTGCCTTCACTTAGAGCATTTCCAGCAGTTTGCCTCTTGCCATGGCGAGGGGGGCTAGGGCAGCTACAATTCACATGAATAGTGGCTGCCCTTGCCATATGAAGTTATGTGTGTTTCCAGCAGTCGCCCTTTGCCATGGCAACTACTATTCATTTTTTTGTTTTTTTCGCAACTTTTTTTACTTAAACAATTATTTTGGATAATATTTTTGGGTTTCTACGTGTCAATACTATTCATATCGGATAAGATTTTCGGTTTCACATTTCAGATAAATTTCAAATGTTTTGAATAAAAAGGTATTTTATTGAATGCATGAATTACAAATAATTTTCAAAATAAAACATTAAAATACAATGAAAATAAAATACATGAATTACACAACAATGAGAAATTTGGACCCAACACTCACACAACAAAACATCTTCCATGGTGCTCCATGCCCCAACACCGTCGATAGAAGAAGCCATAAAAATGATATGGAAAAATAAAACTTGAAAGTGAATAAAATGTTGAGTAAAAAGTGAATAATAGTAGAAGTAGAAGAAAGTGTATGAGGATTTGGTGTTGAAAGTGAAAAGTATTGGTAGGTATTTATAGAAAAAAAATTCAGTATTTTTTAGAATTTTTTTGGGATTTTTTTTCATATTTTTATTGCCAAAATATTGTCTGCCGTTGGATTGGAGGGAAAATACCATCGGAGTGCCTAGGTTTTGACACATGGCCCAGTTCGATAGGCCCCTCATGTTGCCCGGGCTGCTTTCAACTGCTGAAGATGGCTTTTTAGCCCAGCCTGCCCCCAGCCCTCCCCTTGGCTGCATTGCTGGAAATGCTCTTAGGTTTTTGGACGTATGTTTTTATCTTTGGGTTAATCCGACAAATATTGACCATTTTACATGAGCCAAGAACTATTTCCACCTGAGTTTGCAAAACTCAACTATTTTGACAAAAAAAGAACTATTGTAACCTCTTGGGGATTTAAAAAGACCCAAATACCTTGGGTTCCACCTTAGTGGTGGTGGATTCCCCCTCCCCCATGACACTCAGGATCGAAATAAGTGGAGTTTCTTTCCTTCAATATAACCAAAAATAAAAAATAAATGGTCAAACTATTTGGTTAAGAGTATTTACCCCTCAACTCAAGATCCGACTTCCCCTCCCCCAATATTTGTATTAAAGAAAAAGTCTGAAAATCAAAATAGTTAACACTCGTTAAAACAGATCATGTGATGTAATTTCCCTATCTCCTATGTGTCATATCCTAAAATTAAAGTTAATTCCCTTAACTCCTATGTGTCACTTTGGTCTCTAACTTTCAATTGGACCCATAATCTCCCCAAACTTAATTACGTGCATCAAAATGGCCTTGTAATTAACTCTCGGTTTTTTATAACGTACAAAATGAGCATGTACTATGTATACGAAAATTTGCAAACATGAATTAGACCAATGAGTTAAAATAGTTTGCCCGATTCTTTGCATCAGAGTTCAATTCACCTCCTTGTACATTAGAATAATATGGAATATCACTTTGTAAATAAAAAAAAAATCCATTTTTTCAGTAACATAATCATTGTTTTGTACCCTAAATATTAATTGAAAGATAAAAGTCAACAGAAAAAAAGATAAAAAAAGAAAAAGAAAAAGAAAATAACAATGCTAGAAGGTTGCGGACGACACCAATTACAACGAACCACCTGCTTAATTAGCACAAATATATTGACAACGTAGGAGATGAAACTTCCTCTTCTTTTTTTTTGGTGATGAAATTGCTTATAATAGTTTCTGCATGTTTTTTAAAAATTTATAGGTACTTGGACAAATTACTTGCATATGTTCTTTGTATTTAGAAAAAAATAAAAATAGACCTGCATGTTCTTTACTTGTGAAGCAAGGAAGATACCATACAAAATGGTACAGTTTGTTTTGCATTAATAAATGAGAAATCAATCATATATTTGCTAGTTTCGAAACAGATCTTTCCTTTTCTGTTCGACCCTAAAGAATTTTGTCATTTTTCCTTCAATTTCTCTCCCCTGAGTTCAGCTGAGCAAAGCAAAACTATTGATTGAACCATAAAAAGTATTTAAGCTTGACTCAAAAACTTCACGGGCTTCCGTTTTCTCTGTGACTCTTCATTCTCTTCTTAACAAAACCCCGAAAAAAAAGAACCCCCTACCGGAATGGTATACAAATTAGCTTTCTATTTTTATTATATATCGAGAATTAGCTTTCTATTAAGAAAAATTATTAATTAGGAGCAGGATTGGGACATGATTAATTATATGCTTGTGTTGAAAATAATGAAAAAAAATAGATATAAAAAGCGATACAATAAGTAATATTATTGAAAATAAAAACAAAATTTTGAAATTTTTATATATACAAGTATAATACATTATATTAAAATACCCATACATTATCTTAAGAATATATACGTTCGTGTATAATGTGTATTTACTATAACTCAATTAATACAAGTATATTCTCTGTATTTCATACAGGAGGGGTTCTCTCCTTGTTGATTTATATTAAGACAAGTAAAGGAGCCAGATACCTGTATTAGAAACAAATTACCTTTATAGATCATATCACTACTAGAAATATGGCTACTAGCCACTGATTATTTAGATACAAATTCATAAAAGTGCCTTGTGATTTTTGTCATGTAGCTTACTGATTATTGACATATATGTATTTGACTTAAGGATAGATACAATATCAATAGACAAATTCATATAAAAAGTAAGTGCAATTAATTATAAAATAACATTTTTATGTCAATTGACATCTAAAACTTCGTTAGTTAAGTTTGGATGGATTTCATTACTCAATTTTTTTTAAACAACTTAAACAACATAAAGATTGAGTTGTCACAACAATACTAATACACGTCGTGAGTTCCTTCTAAAAAAAATATACACACGTAAGTTTCCTATTTTTTTAAAAATGCGTTAGTAATCTATATGCGCCGCTCTTGATGAAATGTCATACCTAACATGAAAACATGTCATAACACTCCATTTTTTTAATAGGAACATAAGTGTATTGTGCCAATAAAGAGTTCAAATTCTTATTGTAAAAGAAAAGATGCTCAATTATTTTTTTTATTTTTTATTTTTGTAACAAGGGGGCTAAAAGCCCTCAACAAGATGCTCAATTTTTTGACATTACCAATAAAACGTTTTATCCATAAATTATAGAAAATGAAATCCAATTTAAATTCACAAAAGACTATATGCATATCTTAAACATTTGATTCTACTGTAAATTCAGTCGATCATCTCCACAAAATAAAAATAAATGGGAAAACGAAGATTAAATCCAGATTAAATCCTTGATTATTCTAACTTCTTACATCGTTTTATGTACTATGCATGGGAGACAAAATATTTTCCTTTAATTTTTTTCTTGGTGGTTAGTTGAGCAAATTTCTCGGATTCATTATTTATCGTATACAAATTTGTTTTAGTTTAAACTTGCCGTATATATATATATATTTATGTACTAAAAGGAAAGGGTTTTTAAAATTCAACCTGGATAGGACGCGCTTGAGAGGAACGTGAGCCAAAATGAACGAAGTGTTTTGTTTAATTCTTCGATTCTATTGGCTGGTGAGAGGTCATATTTCATGCAAGAATAGATTGATGAGATTTAGACGGTTTTTTTTTCTCTCTTTCGAAAAATCCTAAAAGCTGTTAACCCAAAGAAACATTCCTCATATTACTCAAACACTTCCCTTTTATTATCCTTAAATCTCTTCTTTTTTTTCAAACTACAAATCTTTTTGTTGATATCTTATATTAATTCGGATTTCTCTATATGGGTGGAAAAAAAAACCCAAAACTTTTAACACCCTTTTAAAAACCCTAATAATAATATATATATATATGTTCCCCATTATGCAAACTATACAGGTTAGAGTTGGTGTTACTTAATTCAAAGAGATTTCTAAACCCAGCTAACCGTTTTGCAAAACCCTTCATCCCCTTCTCTCTTCTCTCTCTGTTTCTTCTGTTTTCTAATTTTGATCGGTTTCAATTATAACAATAACATAAATGGAGAGGAAGGGAGGGGAAGAGGTTGGGCTTCAATATCAGTGGTTTAATACTACAGCAGCATCAAACAACAGCAACCCTATTGTTCCTTCCTCCTATACCTTACCCGAAAACCACCTCCGCCGCGAATCACCTTCCCAAAACCATCATATCTATTGGGATCCTACTTTGGGGAACCCTATTGTTTTTCAAAACGCCATGTTGCCAAACAATCCCTACCAAAACCTTACTCCCTCACAGAATGCCAATCCGAATGACCATCTTTTTTTCCCTGCCAATAGTCTCCAAAACTCACCATGTACCAATAATCTCAACATGAACAGTACTGATTTTTCTGATCAGGCCCAACACGATCAGCTGACAGCAGCCTTGAATCGGCTAAGCATATCGAATCATCATCAGTCCGGTGGTGCCACATCAAATCCAAGAGTAAACAGCTCCTTAGGAGGTAATGGATTTACTGCTCAATACCAATCTTCTCATTATATCCGAGAGGAGGAGGAATATTTGGAGAAGTTGAAAAATCAGTATGTTTTGTTAATGGCCGAAATGGATCAGTACACGAGGCTTCATGGATCAGCAGTTGCCAATCATGTTACTACTAGTAATCATGCTCTCCCCCATAGGGCAAATTTTTCTCTAACAGAGGTGGGATCTACCTATACAGGAGCGAATCGGGGTGGGAGTAGTACTTCTGATCAATTTGGTTATGGATATAATCCAATGAGGCCTAATAATCCTGTTCGTAATGGTGTAATTAGTAGCAGGGGATCAAGGTATGCTAATGGATCTGGGCGACAGCGTTTGAGTACTAGTTACTCATCATCCTCATTGGAACAAAGGGGCCAAGTGATGACTAGTAATTCAGTGGCTAAAGATGGATCAAGGTTTTCTAATGGCTCCATACGGCAGCAGCATCCAACTGCTTATCTATCCTTGGAAGAATTAAGGGGCAAAATTGCTTTGGTGGCCAAGGATCATGTGGGGTGTCGTTTTTTGCAGAAGAAGGTCGAGGAGGGCAAGCCAGAGGAAGTTGAGATGATTTTTAAGGAGGTTATGGACGCAGATTTGCGTGACTTGATGGTTGATCAATTCGGCAACGAGTTCATCCAGAAACTTGTTGAAGCAACCAACAGAGAAGGACAGTCCAAAATGCTTGACTGTGTGATGAGTGATGAGAAAAAACTCAAGGACATTTGCACTGATCAACACGGGTACAGATTATATGAATTTTTACTACTCTTTTTTTTTTTTTTTTCCAAGAGATGGTGAGGACAAAACCCTAAATCTTAAATTTTGAAGTACTTTACCACTGAAGCTATAAACTCCTACAATATATTTACTTTTTGGGGATCGAAAATTGGACAAATTTTTTTATTGTTTAGAAGTGTTTGATGTTGCAGAAGTCGAGCAATGCAGAAATTGCTAGAGAGAGTTGAGACCCGAGAGCAGCAGTCCTCGTTCATGCGACTTCTGAAGCGCATCACAATTCCCCTCAGCAAGACTCAGCCTGGTTACTATGTGATTCAAGTTTGCTTGAAACATTTCTCTCCTGAATCCACCAAGGTAGTCATCTTTTCACTATTTTTGTCATGTAGCTTACTGTGTGTGATTGCTTTACTTCTCAATGGTTTATGTGTGGAAGATGAAGGCTTGCAGCTAAATTGCATGGGTTTAGTACACACACATTTGGCTTTGGAAAAATGAATGTTGTTAATTTTTGGTGATCTTAATTTTATCTTCTAAACCAAATCTACCTCCCACAGGGCATCCTGGAATTGGTGTTAGAGAACTGCCTTGCCCTAGCAAAGGACAAGTTTGGGTGCTGCTTAGTGCAAAGCAGCGTTCATTATGCTTATACAGAGGCTAAGGAGCGTCTTGTGGCAGACATAACTGAACATGCTCGAGTCCTCTCTGAAGATCCCTACGGGTTTGTCCTTTACCTTTACCTGTTTTCCAGATAGGTAAAATTACTTGTACCACAGACACACACCCCTCAATTGGGAAAGAATCTTACCTACTACCGGATATAGGTTTCTTTGTATCTACAACACTCATTATGTGATGATTATGTGATGAGGTGATGATTGTTGTAGATACAAAGGAATATACGCCGATGACACGTCAGATTCTCTCTTCAGTCCAAGAAGACAGATAAATTGTATAAGTTGTAAAATCACTCTTTTTTTCCCTTACAGCGGAAGGGAATCGAACCATTCACTTAGCCTAATCGTAACTCATTTCTTCACTATCCCCGCACCTTGAGGACAAGGGCTTGTAAAATCACATTTTATTTTCCTTTTCATTTCTTTTTGTACATGTATTGCATTTGGAATAATCTAAATGGACAATCATAAGGGAAACCTCTAACGTAGGGTCGAATAGTTCATATATGTGTTCAAGAAGTAACCGACTTCTAGAGGAAATCCTTGCTTATATTAAGGATTTTCAAACAGTATGATGTATCATATTGTTAGACTGTCAATTCATTATATGAAATTGAGAACAATTTTGCATATCTCGCTTGTTTCTTGAGAAGAGATGGGAAGCATACTATTTCATTTTATTTGGATTCTTGTTTTAATGGGTGATATGATGATGAAACGTGTCTCTAATATTATCTTATTTGTTTTGATTAACCACCAGGAACTATGTTGTCCAGTACATAATTGGATTGAAGATACCTCGTGTAACATCAGATATACTAGCACAGCTGGGAGGGAGTTTTGTTAATCTCTCCATGAATAAGTATGGCAGCAACGTGATTGAGAAAAGCTTGAAAGAGGCTGGAGAAGAACATGTCAATAGGATTATTAACGAGATGATTAATAGTCCCAATTTACTGACTCTTCTTCAGGATCCTTATGGGAATTATGTTGCTCAGTCTGCTCTGGGAGTATCCAAGGTAAGATCATCCCGCAAAATGATTGTGCTGCATTGAAACTGTTCACTTCTTGTTAAGATTGATTAGGGCAATACTCATCAAACCTATTAAGAAATAAGTTCCCCCATAATCATATAAATAAGACAATTAACTATAGTAGCAATATGATATGTCGAGAAATGTTCTTTTGTTAGATAGTTTGACACGTATATTATTGTTTAATTATCGATTCGATCAATGCCATGAATAATTGCCCACGCATGCGTGTCGATTGGTGACTTTCAGCTGTTGCTACATGTGGGCATGTGGGTGACTCTGCTGAGAGTCGTGATCTGGACATGTGATGTCAGATTGGTAGTCTTATGACATATGTAATGTAACAAAATTCTTTGGTTTCTTTAACCTCCTTTGTTGATAATTGGACACACATACTACTTTGGTACAAATTTCGAACTTTATTCTGTGTCCAAACTGAATCCTGGAGATTCTAAAATTTGTTCAAAATCCGAGATCTAAAACCATCTGCCCTTAGCTCTATTGCATATGTCATAACCTAATTTTTTGTTCCTTGTGTCAAAGCAGGGAGCTGCTCATAATGCTCTTGTGCAACTCGTTCGGAGCCATTACCCTTATCTTCACAGTCATCTCTATGGAAAAAGGGTGCTTGACAAAACCAGAGGACACAGGCATCGTTGCTAAAAAAAAACATGTAAAACTATAAAGTTGTAGCTTCAGGAACTTCCTGATCTATGTTGCATTATTATCTATCCTCTCTCTGTCTTTAGATGTTGTTGCTAGGCAAAACACAGTAGTAGCAATCTTGTTGTGGTTTGCTAATTAAGCTACAGTTTAAATTTAGGAGTGACTTTTGTTGTTGTTTCTAGGCACATTGCTTGTACGTTGGCTTTTTAGGCCCCTTGTGGTAGGGAGGTTTAGCGCAGGAAAAGAGTTAATCTGCTCTGTGATGGCATGTTTGAAGTGTTTGATGCACTGCACAAGCCATTGAGTGGATGTTTGTAGATTATGGGGCTTCCCAATGTTGCTAGTTAAGTTGTGTCCTAGGGTTCGGATTTATTTATAATATAATCTATGTTGTTTTTGAAGATTTTGACTTTAAAAAAAAATCTTTTTTGTCAGTTTTAAATTTTTTTATTAGAATTATACATGTCTGAACAACCGTCAATTATTGATGTCACGTGAGTGATTGCCATTAGAGCATCTCCAACCAATGTGTCAAATTGCCACATGGACATGCAATGGCAAAAATTGAAGGTTAAAGTTGCTCTAACCGAGTAGTTAAATTCTACATGGATTTGAAGTCTGGAAGAGATATGTCAAAAATAACATATCAAAAAGCTTGATGTCAAATATTATTTTAATATTTTTTTAGTCATGAACTCTATTATCATTTATTTTATTTTAAAACTTTATGCATCATATAGGCCTCATTTGCTTTTAAAAATATAATAAAATAATATGATATTTGGCATTTCAGGTGGAGTTAAATTTTTTCCAAAGTGTCAAATTGCCAGATAAACCATCAAATTCAAATTGAACATTTTGCATTAACATGACCTTTGTTATTGATGATGGGGATTAAGACTAGTTTTAAGATGATAATCCTTGAAATTTCTAATAAAAAGACTTATCTTAAAAGATAAATATAAAGAAGAGTAGATTATGCAGATTTGTTGATAGGTAATAATTATCCAGATTTATCCTCGATCTGCTTCCATTCTTATCCATTTTGCAAACAATAATTACAAAAAACAAAAGAAAACCAAAACAACTAAAAAAAAGGAAAAGTAAAAGGGGCCTCAAATTTTTCTTGAAACCATTTATTTTTGAAAATTTCTGTGAGACGTAAACAAAAATAAGAACCCCGCTTGGCCGAAACCAAACAAAACATTACTAGGGAAGCCATAAGAAGATTTCAAAATTTTACCACCTAATGGGGAATTAATATTTTGCAGTTCACAGAACCTTTGTTTTCTCTTTCTAATACAAGCATCAACACTAATGTAAAACCATCTAGATGATGATCTCAAGAATATCATACAGAGGCAGTATGTAATACATCTGAACTTCAAATGAAGCATAAACTAGGCCATTCCACAGAAGCCGGTGAAGTTGTGAGTTCACAAATGGCGAAGGATGAACAGCTCCACTTTCCAATAACAACCAAAATAGATGGCCAAAGTTTCACTCTGAATCCGATGAGTCCGCGTTGCTGCTTTGCCGGACACTCCTGGTTTTTGCACTAGACTTTAGAGATGATTCACCCTCAAAGAAGATGACTTGGGCTTTAGCCAACCTCTCCTCCAGTTCTTCTGTGCTGAAGTCGTCTTTTCCCCCAAGCTCATCGAATCCGACCTGTTGCACAAGAGGACATTGGGCGTTAAAAAGCAAATTATCTGCCTATGGTGTGTGTGCATGTCCTTCCTATAACATACCACATAATCATCCACTTTGGCATTCTTAATAAGGGCAACGGTTGGAAGAACAACGATCTTCAGCTTCTCTGCTAAGAATGGACTTTTCTCAGCATTGATCTTCACAAAACGTGTCTCCATGTGTTGCTTCGCCAATATACTCAAGTGCTTGTCCACCACCTACAAATGAACTGTAAATATTGATTACTTGTCCTAACTGTTGAGTTAGCTTCAATGTAGTTATTAAATTGAACCTGGGAAATTTACTGAATAGTTCCAACAGCTAGAACCGATTGTTTAAAATCCCCCAATGCTTCTAGGGGGGGGTGGGGGGGTGGGTCAAACAGTTTGTGTATAAGCAACTCATAACAGGTACCATCCTCCAATCCCCATGCAAGCCCCATAAACATTTTAGCAGTAATACCTTGACATCAATGACCTCTACCTCTCCTCAACAGCATGCATCTAAGATATAATTAACACTTCTTCATATCAAAAACATTCACAAATTTGTGAACAATTTCTTTAGCTTTTAGCTTCCAATCAACAAACCCCAAATAGAAAAGGGCTTCCAAAAACAACTCAGGGAACAATAAATGACAGGTTTTGAAATAAAAAGAAAGAAGAGATGTAAAAACAGTTTGAAACTCACTTAATCTGCAAATGCATTATCAATGATCAATGATTTGATTATTATCTACTGTCACTAAAATTGAATCCTTCCCTCTCTAAACCAACACCAACTTTACCAATTATGAAGCACAACACCTAAATTACTTCCCCTCTCCCCTAATGAAAAATCCAAATAGGTTGGAATGTCCATATGCTAAGTTTTACAGTTTAACTCAGAAAACCCCACAAGTTAAACAATTACACCCAAAAACGCCTCCCAAAACCATAACTTTAGCAGAAAGCTTCAATTTTTAAATAGTGGAAATTAAACAAAAAATGTAAAATATACCTTGCAGGGCCAATTTTCGCGGTAAAAGTGGCAGACGACGCGGTCACTGGCCTTGACGGCGGAGAAGAAGTCCTTCTCGGAGGGGATCTCGGTGTACTCGCCATGGCCGAGGGAGATCCAACGGCTGCGCTTCTCCGCCATCTTCTTCATCTGCTGAAGCCTCCGCTCTCTGAGCGCCTCCAGATCGTCATCGTCCACTCGATCTAGGGCTGCGATTTCCTCGTCAAGCTTGTCCTCCACCGCCTTCGCTACTGTCAGCAATTGCTTCTCCAATATCTACAATCAACCATTCAAAGTTCAATTCTTTTTAATAAACATAAATGTACATACGCCACAGGAAAGAGCTAGAGAGAGAAAGAGAGGTACCTCTTGGACCGCTCGGTTCTCCATTGTTGAATTGAATAGATTTTGCAGAAGCTTTCTTCTTTTTTTTTGGTCGAAATTTTGCAGAAGCTTTCGTTCAGATGAAAAATGGGATTTCAGAGGGAGTGAGGGGGAAAGAGGGCGGGCCTATTTTTCCTTTTGTTCTGGACCGTAGGGGAGGATGCTAATATCAAAACGTCGCGTTTTGGTGTTTTTGGGTCTGAAATTGAACTTGGGCCTTTGAGTCAATTTGTATTCCTTACCTTTTTTTTGGTGTTGGAGAGTATTATATATTAGAGAGATCGGTTTTTTCATATTTGATATTTGTTTTTTTGGTAATTTTCTTCTCTTATTTTTTTAGAATGAGGTTCCCTTCGAATTTGGTATCAAAGCTTAGTTTAGCATCTTATAATTTTGATGATAACATAAGTGATAATGAAAGTATTTATAATGTTAATGTCTTAGACTCAGAATTTGTTTTATTTGTTGTTCAAATTCTTACTTGTCTAATAAGTTACCTTGTCCAAAACAAGGAAAAACTATTATAATTATGTTATTATCTAGCTAAACTAATGATCATACTTTGTTTGAGCACTCGGTCATGTTTGATATTTGTCATAACAATAATTGGATGGGGAACCTTTGAGTTCTGCTCACATACTCCTTTAGGTTGGCGTCATTGCAGTTTCATGTTCTAGGCATGGTGTCTGGTTAGTTTTTTATACTTCTATTTAAAATTTGTTGAACAATTAAAAATAGAAGTACAAAAAATACAATTCATCTGGTCTCCTAGATGTAGTCTTAAAATAAATCTTATATTCAATTTATAGTTTTGGTGATAACTTAAGTGATAATGAAAGTATTTATATTGTTAATACCTTAGAAATATTTGTGGTGAAGTGGGACATATTAGACCTAAGTGTGTCAATATCTTATTTTTATTCCAATGTAGATCTTAGTATAAACCTAGCAATCATGGGATGTATTCCCAATTATGTCATGAATATTACAGAATTTAATTGTTGTTGGTATTACTAGCCCTGAGTATTAACAATTATCGGCATATTAACAGTCTTATTCATTAACATGAATGGAGTATTTTGGAGTGTCATCCACTATGTTTATTTTCAAATCTTCTAATTGATGACCAAAAAATATAGAATTCCACAAATAAAATACTCTTTTATCAAATAAAATTCTACCATTAGTCTTAGTATTAATATGGTAGAATATAAAGAACTACAACCATTTCAATTACTGCAGAAATTTTATTAGAATATGGTTATTTAGGTCAGCTTTATGTTGAAAATTGATCTCCATATGAAAATTACATTGGAATAAAAATAAGATATTGGCAAAACTAGACATTATTAATCCAGATGATTGTGAGTCTAGCAAGATAATAACATAATTAATAATGTATAGATATTGGCAATAGACATTATTAATCCATCTTGTTCTTCTTGTTCTTGTTGCAAGGGCATTCATGCTTGTTGAGACAGAGCATATCCACAGTACTTGATGCATCGATCTTGAACTTCTTCTACTGCACACCTCGTTGAGCACTTGTCACTACAATATCCTGCAATGAAAAATTAAAATTTTCATTTTCTACCATGTTAATCAAAATTGTAAGGCAAAATAATTGTTCAGTTCAAGGGCCCTTGTGCTTGCCCTTCTTGTTCTTGTTGCAAAGGCATTCATGCTTGTTGTCATAATTCCTGTAAGGCACACACTTGCACTCTTCAGAGCATATCCCACAATACTCGATGCATCGATCTTGGACTCCTGCTTCTGCACACCTCGTTGAACACTCGTCACTGCAATATCCTGCAATACAAAATTAACATTTTCATTTTCTACCATGTTAATCCAAATTGTCAGGCAAAATAATTGTTCAGTTCTAAGACACTAGGGCTTGCCCTTCTTGTCCTTGTAGCAAGGGCACTGCTTGTTGCCACAAGTGCCAGAAGACAGACACTTGCACTCTTCATACTTGATGCATCGATCTTGAACTTCACACGTCTTTGAGCAATTGTCACAGCAATCTCCTGCACATTTAGATTTGATATTTTATACCATGTTTAATGTATAATTAGCATGGTTAATTATCCAGCAAAAAGGAAAAATAAAAAAACAATGTACAGCAAAGTAAGGTCAAAAGGTATGGATTTGCTTACCTGATTTAGCTTGAGCCATGGCTGGATCCATCAAAGAGGAGCTAAGAAGAATAAAAGAAAAGAAGAAGAAGTAGAAAGTAGAGCTTCATCTTCTACTTTTGCTTTCGCCTAAAGTGTTAAGGAAACGTCACAGTTTAGCGGGTTACTTGAGGGAGTGTGGAGGATTGTGAGAGCTCAAGCTTTGGTATGGTATGGTATTTATAGTGAACATGACGGACTCAGGATTTCAAAATGAGATGAGCTAAATTTACCTAACTGGACTGTTAGATTGTAAGATCAACTAAACCTTAAAGGGAGGCTGATGGAATTGATCATAAATATATATAGGATTATATGTTGGATTTCTCCTTTTCAATATCGATCATATTTTAAAAATAATAAAAATAATAAAATTTTCAAAATTTCTATGCCTAAAAACTCTAGTATATTTGGTAGATAATATAGTACGTGGGCAGTTGTGATCATTGAATAAATGTTGGCAAAGGTACTTACAACTGGAGTGAAACTATTGGCAAATTTAGTGAGCCGGTGAAACTGAGCCATGGTTCAGGTAAGTGTGTCCATCCACACACGGTTTCTGCACCTCGTTTTGGCCGTATGTGTCAAGTAGGTTTGTGTTATAAGTGTGTAGAGTATTTTTAAGTGCAACTACAAACGCAAAACACACTCAAAAACCTACATAATCAAATAGTTATCTAAGTGAGATTGTAATTAGGGTTTTTCCTTCAGAACTCACAATGCATCAATGGCCAGCTAACATACGTCTGCTCCCTGCCTGACCAATTAATACACGACCGGACGATAAGCTATGTTTTAATAAGAGGAGTTGGATGTCTGCATCCATCCCCAGAAAAATAAGGAAGAGTAACTCCAACTTCATCATCCATAAAAAGTACACTAAAACAAGACAAAATGCCATAGGGACAAAGCAATGCAGATTATTTATAAAAACAAGGCAAAAAGGTCCTCCTTTGCAAGGATCTTGCAGGTTAACTCAAGCTGAAGAAGCCAAAATCAGACAGTTTAAATGGAATGCCAGGGTTGTAGTGTTTCTGTAAAATTCTTTAGATTGCTGACCATCAAGGTGTTCCTTGGCATAGATGCAATGTTGCACCCAGAAAACTTTAGCGTCTCACATGATGACATTTTTTTTGTTAACATAACTCCAGAAGCATGACTCCTACCTTGAAACTTTCAGACCTCGAGCGAGTACGCATATAGGCTGCCAAGATACTCATGTTGAATTCCTGGGTGCAAGGAAAATTGTGAGAAAATATATGTTTAAATTACATAATAATAATAATAATAATAAAGAGAACTAAAACTATTAACTCTATAGGGTTAAAAAAAAAGAAGATACTGCTATTCTAACTAATCCACAAGAAGAGTTTGGGGGCACATATCAGTAAACACCTGCAAGCAAGCGTCTTCCACTACTTATGTCATACAAAGCAACATTTCTCGAGTATCCACTAGCAAGAAATAGTTCATCCGTGTAGTTAACATGAACAGATGTCAATTGGTCAAACTCGTCAAAAGTCATAGAACCGGCATCACTACACGAATGCTAGAACTCGAACTTATGACCTTCTCTAAGGAAGCATTCACTCCAAACTACTACGCTAATGGTCCTTTGCAGCACCACTGTGTATTCCTTCTATACATGATCGCATTTGATGGATATCGTATAATTTCGATGAACAATTATCCGATTGTCAACGCATGCTGTGCTGTTTCTTGGGTTGGAGGGGTTGGGATGGGCCAAAACCATTAATCAAAGGTTATTGGGTAGCAGAGCAGTATAGCTCATAGCGTGTGCACGGTCCAATTTTAAAAAATCCAGATGCTTTTGTTCTTCTTGTGTGGCATCTATTACTGTTTCAGCCATGCATAGGCTGAAGGATACCTTGCAGTCTGACGACATTGATTTTATTCTTCTTAGCTTTTTATCACAAATGGTTTTTGAGGTTGGCGAAATTATCGTCTTTCATCCTTAATATTTTTTTGTGACACTAACGATTCCTAAGATTACCCTCCACGCATCAAAATGGTCATCACCGTGAACTTCCGTCAAATTTTGTGACACACATAAAATAATATATAGCCTCGTCAAAGGTTTTCTTAATTGTGTCACTTGCACAAATCCGAAAAGATTCTACCGACCGCCCTGCCACTATGAGCATATATACTAATTGCTAAGCACATGTTTAGCCAGAGGGTCTTATGTTTTGGGACCTTGTTTTGCCTGTCTTCGATTTTATTGTCAAGAAAAAGTCTTTGATTTTAATTTTTGGGATCAAAATATGAATTTGCTTAACCTTGGGAGACTATAAACGGGTCTAGCTCGGTGAAAAGAATTTTAACTTACCCATCAGCATCTTGACGTGTGTGTAAGAAATCCCCATCTCCCGATATCACATGGATCCAACTTTCATTAATATATCAGCAATTGACAACTTGTCTTAGGTTGAATCTGGGATGACAAAATATGCAAGTTTTGATCATGTATTATTTACAAAATAATTACACACTTATTCAAGATTTATGTGAATAATCAAACTTATTCAAGGCATTTACTAAAAGTGGGCATAACTAGTAATATTATTCATTTTATGCAAATCCAACGGCCATTGGACATTAATCATCACGATCACACATAAACTACTACTAGACCCATCAAGACAGAAAGGATGATCAACAACCAACTCTTGCTAAGCAGAGCCCACAACTCTCTCTCACTAAAACACTCACCATAGATTTTTTAAACTTTCTACAACACAAACACCACCAAAGTAACACTCACACTCACACTCAAACCAAATCTCTCTCTCTCTCTCTCTCTCTGAAATAGTTGATGATGTTGAGTTCAAGGGCACTTGGGCTTGCCCTTCTTGTTCTTCTTGTCTCTGTAGCAAGGGCACTCATGCTTGTTGCCATAAGTCCCAGAAGGAACACACTTGCACTCTTCACAGCATATCCCACAATACTTGATGCATCGATCTTGAACTCCTGCTACTGCACACCTCGTTGAGCACTTGTCACTGCAATATTCTGCAAATTAACATTTTTCATTTTATACCAAGTTAATCAAAATTGTCAGGCAAAATAATTAAAATGGCTAATAATTATATCAAGCAAAAAGAAAAGAAAAAAAAAGAACAATGTAGTAGATCAAAAGATGTTGCTTTGCTTACTTGATTTAGCTTGAGCCCTGGCTGGATCCATCAAAGAGGAGCCAAGAAGAAGAAAACAGAGAAGAAGAAGAAGTGGAAAGTAGAGCTTCATCTTCTGCTTCTGTTTTTGGTTTTGCCCAAGTGTTATCAACTAAGGAAATGTCACAGTTGAGCAGTGTACTTGGGGGAGCGTGAGAGCTCAAGCCTTGGTATGATATGGTATTAATAGTGAGAGAAGTGGACTTGGGAACTTTGGATGCCCTCATTGTCATTGTCAAGGACAAAGGCCAAGTCATCTTTTATTTATCAAAATGAAAAGTCTAGAATATAGTGTAAATAATCTAATTTTCTTATATATAACACATTTATATCCCACCTTTTTTTCCTCTTTAGTTTATATAATATTTTTTTTTCTTTTTCAACTTCAAAATATCTGTAAGGGACTTATAGCTAGAGTGGGAAGAGCATTTTTTTTTTTTTCACATTTGAGATCATCACAGATTTGATTACCCTCTTCTTAATTTCGCTTATATAAAAATAATTTTTTTAAAAAAAACCTTCAAAATATCTTTAGTACGTCGGCAGTTGTGGTCATTAAATAAAAATAAATGTGGCGAAAGTACTCACAGCTGGATTGGTGGATCTTTTGGCACATAATTTAGTGAGTCGGTGAGACAGTGAGCCATGGTTTAGGTAAGTGCGTAACACGGTTTCTGCATTTGTGAAAGTTGCTAGTAGATTCCTCATTTTGGCCGTATGTGCCAAGTGTGGAGTACCTACAAACGCAAAACACACTAGAAAACCTACATAATCAAATGGTTATCTGGCTGAGATTATAATTAGGGTTTTGCTAAGCATAGCTGCCAGCACACGAGTGGGCGGTTCTCAGTCGTCGATACATTTAGGGTTCGCAATACATCAATAGTTAATATCCATTTGTGAGTAGGTATTTCTCAACCGTCAACATATTAGAGGTCACAATACATCAACGGCTTATGTATATCCGCTCATGTGTGCGGACATCCATACACAACACACAATGAATTGGCCAAGCAGAACGACAAGCCATGTATTAATGAGCTGGATGCCTGCCTCCATCCCCAGAAAAACAAGAGTAACTCCAACTTCATCATCCCTAGAGAGTACATTACAAGAAGACAAAATGCCAGAGGTCTAAGACATAGCGGATTATTACAAAAATAACAAAAGTCCTCCTTTGCAAGGATCTTGCAGGTTAAGTTAAGGAAGCCCAAGTCAGACAGGTTAAATGGAAACTCTTACCCACGGAAGCCTGATGCTTTCTGTAGAATTCTTATAGATTGAAACGCCTCTGTTACAACTGACAAATGGTTTATTTTTACAACGAGAACCACCCATGCCACTTTGCAGCTGACCACTAACAAACCCTTCCTACTATCTTCAACTACTAACTACCCTCCAATCCATTAACCAGCTAAGGCTAGCACATTTCATGGCATATTACATGTACCTATACTAGATCAAAGCAAATGGACTGTTTCTTTAGCTGAACGTAGGTAGGCATCCACAAAGAATCATCTCTACCAAACCAACTACTGGATCTCATCCAACACAGTTGAGATATGCGCAGGTTCAGTTAATCCAAATCGAGTCAGTAAGTGGGTCCGAAACCCTGCAAGGGAGAGCATACGAAGAGCGGATGGGGTAACATGGATTGGTGTTAGACCTACTTACTGATCTCAGCTGTTGGACCCAACTGCTGGTGGAGATGTTCGCTTTTTTGTATCTTTGCAGACACTCGCCTAGGAGAAGGGTTACAAATAAGGTACATACGTCAACCTCCCATACTATTGGTTGGGCAAGCTTGCTGACCATCAAAGTGTTCCTTGGCATAGTCACTAGATGCTAGCATATTGACCTGCAATGTTGCACCCAGAAAACTTTAGTGTCTCACATGATGACATTTTTAACAACAAAACTCCAGAAGCATGCGTCCTACCTTGAAAATTTCAGACCTCGAGCGTGGACGCATATAGGCTGCCAAGATACTCATGTTGAATTCCTGGGTGCAAGGAAAATTGTGAGAAAATATGTTTAAATTAATAACGGAGGTACCATCAATCCTTCGCACCACTTGAATACTTGGACAAATCAAGTTTGTGTCATGCACACTGCTACAGGGCTCTTGTAAGGTGAGCAGACATGTGACAGTGTGCTTCTTAAGTTTCCCATTAATCATTGTGGCATGATTTTAAAAAGCCAAGCAAGATTACAGTACAAACTAAGCTGAGCATATATAGGATTCTTCAGTAATTTATTGGTTATTGGAAGATTAGTTACAAAATACAAATAAAGTTACATAGAATTCATGAAACATTTATATATGTGTACAAGTACATAAAGTGAAATAACACAACAACAAAATTGACGTGTTGTGGGGGTTACTTTTTAAGGAAACAACCCACACTATCTCTTCTAACAATAGTAGTGAATGTGTACAGTTCTACTAGTACTTGATTGAACAAAAGAGTGGATAAGTAGAATGAAGCTCACTCTGAAAGGATCTCCCCTTAAAGATTGCACAAACATAGAACTCCTAGATCCTCCTCCTCCCTGCATATGAACAGAAAATTGTTTCATTATTGTCCTCAAAATAACTAGTACAAATTCACAATTAGTAGATGAACAGACTTCTTTTCATCCTTTCCATACCTATTTCAGATTTAATTCCTTTTTCCCTTTTCAGCAATCTCAAGTTAAGGCACTACATTTCACTGTATTTCTGGTGTCTTTCATCTCCTATTTTTGTCTATATCTTCTTTTAGAATCTAAAGCTGTGCCACATTGCTTACTACATGGATTCCTAAAACTTATTACTGACAATGATGATGACAACTTGTGACTTCACTCAAATACAACATGAAGCTCCCCAACAAGAGTAGAGTTTGGCATCACACATAGAAAGAAAGTAGATTCTATCCACTAGGTGGAACGTTAAACATATATCTGACAAGGAAACCACTGTTTCACAGTACTTTTTAGGCATAAAACATCTAAACAGAAAGCTGTACCTCCAAAGATATATCCCTCAGGCGCCTCCCTGTTTGAGCACAACATATGCGGACTACATGCTCGTCACAACTCCCACTGATGATATAATCCCTTCCATTCATGTAATAAGATCGAGTGTAATTTTGAGCGCTTCCTGTAGAGGCTATCTCAAAATTCAAGTGAAGTCTCCCATCAACTGCCAGAAGTTGTCTAACCTGACATCATCAACGAGTTAATCTCAGAGTATGCTAAAGTGTCTTAAAGGACAGCAAGTAAAGCTTCATTATGCATCAAAACAAAATATCATTGCACAAAATATACCAAGATGATAAATAAATAAATCTTAAAGAACAAACCCTATCTACAGACTACATCAACCTCCTCCATCCAAATATATCTTCTCCTATCCTAACACAAAAGCCTAACGTTACGAATAGTAACTGCCTCCAACATATCCAACAATATACAAGTTGCCTGATGGAGTGCACCAAAACCCATGGTAGCCATCATTACATAAGAGGCCTTGGTGGACTAAATCACAAGTGAAATCCTAATATTAAGTCTACCACCAAGATCAGCTGATCTCCTTTTGGAATAGGCATCATAATAAAATAATAAAACTATTTAAATAAAGAGAACAACTAAAACTATTAACTCTACAGGAAAATAAAAATAAAAATATGCTGCTATTCTAACTAATCCACAAGAAGAATTTGGGGGCACATGAGAACACATGGACAGCCCAATTATATACTATAATATAAACTAATCCAGAAATTACCTCATTGTCAACAGCTGACACAAGAAGATAGTGATCATCTGGAGAAAAGCAAACCATCACATTACCCCTAGAGCTTGAAGAGGTATAGCAAGGTCGTATTGGTTTCTGTCTTAGATCCCACATCTTGACATCCTGATCAAATGAAGAAGTGGCAAAAAGAGACGGGGAATGGTTTGCAAACTTTACTACATTAATATGCTCCTGATGCATATCAGTAAACACCTGCAAGCGTCTTCCACTACTTACGTCATACAAAGCAACATCTCTCGAGTATCCACTAGCAAGAAATAGTTCATCCGTGAAGTTAACATGAACAGATGTCAATTGGTCAAACTCGTCAAAGGTCACAGAACCGGCACCACTGTATATCCCTGGTATAGTTGATCGCATTTGATGGATATCGTATAATTTCAATGAACCATTATCCGAGCCAGCTATTAGCTGATGTTCAATGAGGAAAAAAACAAGTATGAATTAGAATTTTTGAAATAAAGAGAGAGATAGATGTCTAATCTTTACAAATTGATACAGTACTATGAGTCTATGACGATAACAATTATTTAACAATTATTTGACTATTGGTAAAGTTTTTCAATTTATCAAATGCACAAAGGATTCCCACACCTAAGAAGCCTTTCCAAGCATACATTAGCAATAATTCCAAAATAAAAGACATTAGCAACATAATATTGAATGGTAACAGTAAAATCAGGTCGGCCTTCAACTTAGGAGCCATCTTCGACCCATCCTGTGGTGGTATACATTGCCCATCAAGTACCATAATGACAACTCAAATGTTACATACTCCCTTCAGTTGTCAATGCATGCTGTTACTAGCTATTGAATGCCATGTATCTGTACTTTGAACAATTTTATGCCCAACAGAACTACATATGATGAGAGAAAAACAAAAAAATAAAAGAATGATGCAGCATTCTGGGATTGGTACGTGCAACAATTTCCCAAGGAAAAAAATTTAACTGTTAACTATATACACATAAGAATAATAAGCCATGACTTGAATATAACTACATTCCATGCAGTAATTGCATACCTTAGAGGGATACTTCTTGAGCCAACAGAGTCCCAGCACACTATTCATTGCTCCTAGCGATGGGATATAACTAACAATTTTTCCATTTTCATGGTTGACTACAATTACTTCACCATCCAATGTTCCAAAGACCATTAGGCTAGAGTCAGATGGATGATACTCAAACTGCCTAGGACGAAAGCTCCTACTTTCACCTCCCAAGTCACTGCCTGAGACAGAAAGTGGATGCAAGAAAGGCCAAGCAGAAGATCCCATTTTTGCAGCACAGAGAGACCTGGTATAGAAGTATTGAGACTTTCCATAGAGATTTGATGTTTTTTGCCCATGACTTTGCACATGAGTTTGGCTTGCTCTAATTTCACGTTTCTGTAACATATGAACAACATTCTCTTTATGCTTTCTCCGATAAGGTAGATTTTCAAAATACTCTGAGAATTTAATCGTAGCCCTTTCCTGATCAATCTTTCTAATAGGCAAGTTATCTAAAAGTCTCAAATGAGGTAATGAGGCTATCATGTACTCTCTATAATGTTTCTCGAAACATATTGGCGAAGCATGATAAGAAATATATGTCAATGCAACATCTCCAATATGCTTTGTAAAGACACCTTCTAAGGGCTCTTCTTCGTTTTGATTCTGTAAGTTATCAAAAGAAGCCTGCCAAACAGAGTAGAAATTTGATTATTATTAATATAAGAGAGAGGATTGGAGGATAATGATGATTACAAAAATTACAATATTATATGATAGAAAAAATATATACATTGGACATCAAAAGCTTAAGTTGTTAGGCAATGGACCAACAATGCATATCAAGGTAACACTACCCCTCAAGTGCAACCCCATCTTGCACGTGGACAGGCAGACAAAGAGAAATATAAAGGTGCAGTCCCACAATGCACCTTGCAAATTATAAAGAAAAGGGGAGTGGGAGGTGGAGGTCTCAAAGCCATAGAGGTCTGATACGCTGATACCATGTCAGGCAACCATTGACCCCAAAAGCTTGCTGTTAGAGAATGGGCATACAATGTATATCAAGCTTATTGTTGCACAGAACTATAATTGTATTATAATTATGTACTAGGTCGTCAACCAAATTTCAATAGGATTTGGAAAGGAGGTAGTTGGCTGCTATATAGTGTTGTTGATGATAACTGTTTATAGAACAAAAACAAACATCCTATTTCATTAACTTTATAATGCAATAAAATTAATCATTTGCTATAATTTCTGCATGAAAACCCCTTCACTGTCATAGTCGCAAATCTACTTAAACATTTCCTACTTAGTCACTCAAGCATAATAAAATGCAAAGGTCAATGCCATTACCTCGTTTTGTGGATTGACCTGTCTATTCCCCCCAGCGAAAACATTTGATAAGAGCTCCACAGAACCATGTTCTTGCAGGGGATTTGAAAAATCTAGGTCACTATCATCTGATGAATCCTCAGCCATGCTTTGTACATCATCATTTATAACCACATTATTAATTAAAAACAAATTCCTGAGCCCCTGTTCGGTGCTTGAGTTCTGATTTGTTACATCCCCAACATTAATGGATAATCGTCCACCATAATCAACACTATTTGGCTGATTGGAATCAGTTTTGTCATCCGATTTCCCACTAGATGATGCAGAATAAGGCCCAGCATCATTGCAACACGACCAATTCTGAAATCGAAGTTCATCTAAAGAAGGGAGTTTAGAAAGTGCAGCAATGGTTGTCCAGAGATTTGAAATTCTTGTATCGCAGAGAGAGAGGCACATTAGATTGGGCATGCAAGTAAAACAATCCTCCTGAAAACTAGTGAGTGAAGAACTAAAATCAAGGTTAAGGGTGTGTATCCGCATGAACTCCCCCATCATGTTGAGCTTCCGAAAATGCGAAGACCTTAAGGTTAAAACTTGGCATGTTAAACCTCTCTGAGAAAGATCCCTACGGATAAAACTTGAATTAGTGACAGCAAGTCATTTATATAGGATTTCATCTTGATTTAAACATTTACATCCATCTACACAAACAAATTATAAAAGACATGAGTTGGCACAATTCAGTACACAGAAAGAAGGCAGTACAAAAGGTAATTACAATAACAGAAAATTTGTTATAAAGGAATACTGAGCAAAGTAAGGAAGAAGAGAAACCAGGTCCAAAACATTTACATATTGACATTTCCAAATTTAAGCAGATTCTTCATTGTAGATCTTTGATAATATGATTTCAGTTTTACAATTAATGCCAATTTACAAATTTCTGTGAACTTCCTAGTCATTCAAATTTTGATTGACAAGACAACACCAATGGAACTGATCAAACACAATGACTGCAAGATGGTACCATGACTGGCTAATATGTGGTGAATGTGGTCTTCTCAGTATTGTAATAGGATGGGAAAAAAGCAACAACAAAAAACACATGTAAAATAAATAATCCCTCCTCAGCATTGCCTCTTGCATGTTAGTCCTCTTATTCAACTATTGCTATGGAAGTGAGTGTTATATGGGATATATTATGTAATGGAATGAAACAATCAACACAAAGCAAATTACAATAAAATACCACTATATACCTCAAGAAATCCTTTCCAAACGACAAATCATGGAGATCAACAACTCGAAGCTTTTGATTGACAGCGTGCATCAACAACAAAGCATAATTTCCATCCAAAGCATACAATGATTCATTGTGTATGTCAACTGCTTCGATCTCAGATGCATCAAGGTCCATACATAAATCAAGAAGTGGTGGGAAATCAGTCTCCTTAAGGTGGTCCAATGAAATCTCCAAGCTACATAGCTCATGGCAAGTTTTTTTAATCTTGGCCTGAGTGATAAAAAGAAAGTTAGGAATCAGACTAAGAATAGTACTATAACTATTATAGACCTCCACTACTAACGAATTTGGAGTAAATGACACACATTATGAATTTGACCATCAAATTTGCTAACAAAAGCAAGTAATTTTGATTATTACTATTCAACTGAATTAAATTTAACGGATTAAATTACAAGAGAGCAAGTTGCATGGACTTGAATTCAGTATCTATGACTTCACACCAGGATTTAGTTTACCATTTTTCTCAATAACATAATAAGGATGTGGGGCCAAGTATTTCTTTATACTCTAACAAATCCCCATCCCTAAATTTTACAGCGCTATAAATAGTTGTCTCATGTCATGTCATGCACAATTGTTCCAAGCTTAGACATAGCAAGAGTATGTTCATACTGATGTCCTGATAGTAGAACTTGATGCTTCAACACACATCCATGAGGGCAATTTTTTTCCGTAGATGATTTTATTATAAAGCTTATTTTAGTCAATCACATACTAGCTAGCAAGGAGCGCATAATTGAGTTGTTTTATTAAGAACTGTATAACAACATCCTCAACAAATGATCATTTTATCTATTATTAACATTTGAAATTAAAAGGAAGCCAAAAAAACAATCCAATTACCCCAACCCCCGAAAGTTGTTGGCTTAAACAACAGTGAAGTTGACCAATGCAGATGTTTCTTCCAAAAAGAAAAATGCTAAATGAGTCAAGCCTGGAACAAACTCGTGCCTATCATCCCCTTTCATACCCATGGCATGCTTTATGGGTCAACTAATTCGACAAGCATCACCCCTGCCGTGTCGTGCTGTGCTCATTTTAAACATACATGCTCGTGTTGTTTTACCCATCTGAAAATACAATATTCATTTTAATGAAGACAAAAATTCCTAGTCCAATAAAGCAACTACTTTCAATCAGAATTTCCTTAACAAATGGATTAAAAGAATTAAACTTTAAACACAATGAATAAATTCATCACTAAAAAGAAAAATTGGGACAATAATCATCACTGACCTTGAAGAGAACAGCCAGAATTGCAGGATTGGGTAGGACATGGTGCCTCCTGCAAGAACTAATGTACCTAGCACCCAAAAAATTCAAACATTTATTGAGCAAAACATTGACATTAACAAGAAAAATAACAACATAAACACGTCCAGCAATTGTAATTCAGGAACTCACATCTCCGCCATAGAACAAACGACAGATAAAACGTAAAACTACTAAACTACAATAACATCCAAAACTTCATACTATGGTTGACAAAGAAATGAAAAAATTTGAAAAAAATTCCGAATTAAAGATGCTGACCTCTCTTCCAATGTTCGGATGTCGATTGCCATGGAGACTGAGCCTTTGCAGTTACCGACCACAAAAGGATTTCTGATCCTTCATACAAATATTGGTTCTGATGTAGTATGTAATAAATGTACAGGTGCGTTTCAGAGAGCGATGATGGGTGATGGGTGTTGAAGAACTGGAGCAGCAAGTGGCCATGGTAGAACCTTCAGGCTTTGTTCAGCTTTTGATAGACAAGGCCCATCTGCTTTTTGAACATGCCATTGGGCATGGCTCGTAATCTAGAACCCATAACTGTAGGGCTCAACCCAATTAACCCATTTAGAATGATTCATGTTTCTCCACAAAAAAAAAAATTGATACAAACAATATTGTAGGAGTGGGGAATCGAACCTAGGAACTCGACTATAAGAATAAATATGGTCTTAACTAATTCAGCTACAAGCCCCTTGCCATGTTTGTCCAAATGGAATTTCAGTAATTTATGAATACTAATACAGACTTATTAAATTGAATAACAGTCCAACATATTTGGTCTCACAAGTCTCATCTATAAGGTGGGACTCATAGGCCTCATTTGGTGGCCTAACTTAGATTGGATTGTAGTTGATTCCAAGCTATTCCTTAGAACTTTCACTCCTCTATATGGGGAATCCCGAACCTCTGCATTTAGTATCGATGCATTTATATGCATTTAAAAGAATCTTAACCATTTGATTAATCTAATAAAGTTAATAATTCCACCTCAGCATAATCATATTACGTTAAAATTTTCATATTTTGTAGCATATAACTTACCCTTTTCTAACTGTAACAAATTAAATCGTGGGTTTTTATTTATTTATTTAAACGTGAGTTAGTTAACTTGAGAGTTATTAACCTTTTTTAAGAAAGTAAAATAAAATAATGAAGGTTTAACCTAGAGGGGAGGCTACTAAAAAAGAAGGGAGGGGATTCCAACCTAACATATTTTTCATTAGGCTAGATCCCATTGGCATAATATATTTTTTTAAAGAACAGTACATGCAAGAATTGAGTTACATGTTACTATGTTAGTACACGAACATTACCAGAGAAAGATCCTAAATAAACTGCATATAAATGAGAAATTGTCTAAGTCTGGGGAGCTTCCATAATGAGGGGGATTTTGATGGGGAGGTTGAATGAGGGTTCAATCCAACTATTTATTCATTAAAAAAGTTTAAGTTCAAGATTTTATCTTTCTTGTTGGAAGGTGGGATTGAACCCTTCTCACCACTCACACATAACTCCCTCATTATAGCCTTTCTACCGAGTCTGAGGCCCTTTTGGGCTTCAATTAAGCCCAAACAAGCAATAAGCTTGGCCCCGAAGCAACTCAATTGACTAGTTTTCTTTTTGCGGATAAGCTTGGCTCCCAAGCAACTCAATTGACCCAGGTTTAGGATTTTTTTTGCTGAAAAAAAGTTTAGTGTTATCATTATTTTGTTTTTTAGCAAGGAAAAATGTTTGTCTCTAGTCCTGAGGACCAAAAAGTTTGAATCTTAAGGGATGTTTACTTTATATAGTATTTAAACCCTCGTTGATTACAAGTGATTGGTTTTAGTCTCCGACCAACCAGATTCAATTTGGTAGGAGGCTCAACCTTCCCTGGCTTTTGTTTTCTTCTGGTCTGCTTTAAATGTTAGATTTTGTAGATTTCTTTAGCACAAAGAACTGAGTATGAGCCTAATTGTGACAGATAAATTTTTCAATGTTTGTAGATTTATGGTTTAATATTGCTGCCCATTGTTATAATAATACAGGTTAAAAACATCCAAACATGGCGGATGCCGGTGCTAAGAAGTCTAACCCCAATACCAAGAGTGGTGAGCTCTTCAGTCTCTCAATTTTCAATTTTTCTTTAATTTGGTTTTTTTTTTTCTTCTGTTAGCTTACTTTTGAATTTCTTTCTAATTTTTAGGAGGGAAAAAGAAGGAGGTGAAGAAAGAAACTGGCCTAGGTCTTTCCAAGAAGAAGGATGAGAATTTTGGAGAGTGGTATTCTGAGGTATCTGTCTTTATCTTTTCTGTTTTATGCTCATCAATTTCTTTCACTAAGTATAACTTTATAAGTAATATATGGGGTCTTGTTTGTTCCATGTAGGTTGTTGTTCATAGCGAGATGATTGAATACTACAATATCTCTGGTTGTTATATTTTAAGGCCATGGACGATGTCAATATGGGAGACGATGCAAGTAAGCTTTCCTTTTCCTATTTAGTTATGCAATTTCATGTTGTCAATGTGTCTTATTTGCTGTTAGAAACAACCATCTGGTTTCAGTATTATGATTACATGTTCCCTGTATAGTTCTTAAGGCTTCAATTTAAATTTGACATTTTAGCATCGTATCAATTGAAGCCATCTTGCCCTTTCAATATACCCCCTCTTGTCTTGAGTTTGGATAATCTCATCTAGCACTTATATGATTGAGGATGCCAACCTTGTGATATATCCATCCTCAATATCAAAGCTATGAACTCTACCTAACAGTTTTTAATGTATAGTTTCATAGTTTATGCTTGCAGATTTCTCTATTCTTTTAGCAAGTTGATATGAATTCCAGCAAAATTGCTCACTTAGCAAATTTGTAGGCATTCTTCGATGCAGAAATAAAGAGAAGGAAGGTAAAAAACACCTATTTCCCTTTGTTTGTCTCCCCAAGTGTTCTGGAAAAAGAGAAGGATCATATAGAGGGTTTTGCTCCAGAGGTGAGAAATAGTACTTTGTTGCTATGATGGTTTAAGTGACTTTATTTACTGTGTTACTCGTGTTATACACCACTCACCCCTATGTTAGATGAGTATATGTTATTTGTTTTATGCAACCTCTTTTTCATTCTTTTATTTCATAACTAGGTTGCTTGGGTCACAAAGTGTGGAAAATCTGAATTGGAAGTGCCAATAGCAATACGTCCAACAAGTGAGACTATAATGTACCCTTATTTCTCTAAGTGGATCAGAGGACACCGTGACTTACCATTGAAGCTAAATCAATGGTGTAATGTTGTTCGATGGGAATTCAGCAATCCTACTCCATTTATCAGGTAGTTCCATTGTCTTCCTGCTTTTGGTGTTGTATATACTAGTTTTGTAGCATTCACAGTGTACAAGATGAGTTAACCTTTTTTATGCCTTCTGATTTGTCTCATAGATTTCAAGTTGTTGTTTAGTTCTTACTTAGTGTTTTGTTGCATCTTTAGTCAAAGTTGCTCATTGTCCTCTATGTCACAGGACCATTTTCTTGAACTCTCTTTTTGACAAGTATGTTAAATTTGGTTTTGCCTCAAATTTGTATGTTTTCATATGATTTCAGGAGTCGGGAGTTTCTTTGGCAAGAAGGGCATACAGCTTTTGCAACACAGTCAGAGGCAGATGAAGAGGTAAGGAGTCACTCAGATTTCTGTTTCCCCTTCAATCTCCAATCCCACTTTCTTTAGGATAAAGAGTCAGTAGCATTTCTACTGTGCTGAAGTCTGATTCTGACCTTTCTTTGAAGTTGTCCTGATTGTAGGTTCTTGAGATATTGGAATTATACAGAAGGATATATGAGGAATATTTGGCAATTCCAGTTGTGAAGGGAAAGAAGAGTGAGCTTGAGAAATTTGCTGGTGGCCTTTACACTACAAGTGTGGAGGTAATTGATATTTTCTTTATACATAATTATTTGAGCATACTTCTTATGCCTCTTCTTTGGTGAGCTTGAATATATTAATTCATGCTTGCAGGCTTTTATTCCAAATACTGGCCGCGGTGTACAGGGTGCTACCTCGCACTGTTTGGGTCAAAATTTTGCTAAAATGTTTGGGATAGAGTTCGAAAATGAAAAGGGTGGAAAGGCCATGGTTTGGCAAAACTCTTGGGCATATAGCACTCGAACGGTAACTTTTAATTCTTTCTTTCACCGATAACCTTTCTATTTTTCGTTAGTGTTATTATCAATTGTGATTAATATTATTATGTTCAGATTGGAGTGATGGTGATGGTGCACGGAGATGACAGAGGCTTGGTATTGCCACCTAAAGTGGCAGCTATCCAGGTTATTGTGGTTCCAGTGCCGTACAAGGATACTAATACTAAGGAAATGTTTGAAGCTTGCTTGACAACTGTGGATACCTTGACCGAAGCAGGGTTTCGTGTTGAGGCAGATTTAAGAGACAACTATGGTCCAGGTTGGAAGTATTCACATTGGGAAATGAAAGGTGTTCCTCTAAGGATTGAAATTGGACCAAGGGATTTGGAGAAAAACCAAGTGAGGCTGCTCTCACAATTTATTTCTCATTTTAAATTTAGTTGCTCAAATTTTCTTTTGTTCTTTGTGTGCTTTTGAGTAAGCCTGTAATTAGACCCAGATATCTATTTAGCACCGGAAAATCTGTTTAAGTTGATCATGAAATGTGAGCCGGTAATGTCAGGTCGGATAGATGTGGCATTATCTGGTTTTTTTACCGATTCTGAGTCTCCTACATTTAAGTTTGACATATCATCTAGAATAGGGTTGGATGCATCTTTATCCTTGTAATATTTAGGCCAGGACTTGTCTGCTGTTCCCTGTCTTGTATGGCTTAAAACTGGAGCCAAGGTTTGATACCTCGGGCTTCAGCCTGGAAGATTGAGGTGCCAAAGACATGAATAGACTGATAAATTTAAAAGATATGCCATTATTAAGATGCCGGTGTGAAAATTGTGGTTCGTAACCTTGCATTTTCTATTCATTGTTGATTCACTGACAGGATCGAATAATGTTCATTTGGTTTTTAGGT